ATAGGATTCATTGATGCTCAGCTATAGGCCTGATTACTGAGTGCTGGAGAATCAGCACAGGAGTTATGTCATGAAATTCATATAGAGTGCCATCATTATCTTGGATCCTTGAGCTGGATTATTAATTGAATAGGACCATAAGAATAGTTCATCCAAATCATTTGTTTCACGTAATTATCATTTTGTTCTTGCATGTTTATCAAGTTTAATTATTGTTGTTTACAAGAATATGGTTACCTTTGCGATTTGACATATGAATTGATACGTGAACGTGACAGTCAGTTGAAGTTGAGGGATCGCAATTGTCATTTGTCAGCGTGTGTACGAGCAGTGTTGCCGGATGACCACTCGTGGTTCTGTCACAGATTAACAGACCTTTTTATTCTGTGGTTCCGTGCTAGATCCTTAGATCATTAATAAATCAAACTGAATAAACGTCACTTGAGAGTTGCCATTCACGAAATTTAGTGTTCAACTTATTTTACCCACCCCTCTCCCTGAGCTGTATTATAAAAAACTATTTTCCAATCGAGGAAAATACGGAAACTCAACAAAAGGGATTCCCCGAGCAAGAATCCATCCTTTTGTTGCCTCTCGAGTACCGAGTGGTAACAAAATTGGCGCCCAACGTGTTCGGATCTGTTTATACAGATACGATGGCAGTTTCCGTATGAGTCGACTTTGAAGGAAATATAACGAGTACAACAGGCGAATGGGGATATATCTACTTCATCGTCGTACTCACTATATCTCTCTATTCTATCATCCCACATAAACACTATTGGAGCAAACGAGTTCGCAATGACCATATATAAGACGACTTTCAAAAAGGTATAGCGCACACAGCTTGCAGAAACAAGAAACTTCGACTTCGACTATTTTTTCACTGTAACTCTGCAGTCTAGCATCTGACATGCATACAGTTGAAGCAGATGTGATCGTATTAACAAATAACGACTTTAGAGGGTTTATAGCAAGTACAATAGGCAAATGAAGATACATCAACTTCATCGGTGTGCACACTCTATCTCTCTATCCTATCATCTCACATGGATACTATTGTAGCAGACGGGTTCTCGATGCCCATATGAGACGACTTCCAAGAGGGTATAACGCACACAACTTGCACAACAAGAAACTTCGACTACGACTATATTTTTGAAGAAACTCTGCAGTCTAGCATCTGACATGCATACAGTCAAGCACATATAATCGCAGTGACCATATAAGACGACTTTGGAGGGTATATAGAGAGTACAATAGGCAGATGAAGATACATCGACTTCATCGGAGTGCACACTCTATCTCTCTATCCCATCATCTCACATGAATACTATTGAAGCAGACGAGTCCGCAATGCCCATATGAGACGACTTCTAAGCGGGTATAACGCACACGACTTGCAAAACAAGGAACTTCGTTCATGTTCACACTGTCACTCTGCAGTCTAGCAACTGACATGCATACATTCGATGCAGGAACTATTGCAGTGACCGTTTAAGACGACTCTGAAGGGACTTTAAGGGGTACAATAGGCAAATGAAGATACATCGACTTCATCGTTGTGCACACTATAACTCGCTATCCTATCATCTTACATGGTCACTATTGAAGCAGACAAGTTCACAATGACCATATTAGATGACTTTCAAGAACGTATAACGCACACAACTTGCAGAACAAGAAACTTCGACTACGATTATGTTTACACAAAAACTCTGCAGTCTAGCATCTGACATGCATACAGTTGAAGCAGATACGATGGCAGTGACCGTATAAGACGACTCTGAAGGGTATATAACGAGTTCGATAGGCTAATGAAGTTACATCGACTTCATTGGTGTGCACACTCTATCTCTCTATCCTATCATCTCACATGGATACTATCGAAGCAAACGAGTTCGCAATGCCCATATGAGACGACTTCTGAGCGATTATAAGGCACACAATTTGCAGAACATGAAACTCCGACTACGACTCCGTTTACACTGTAACTCTGCCGTCAAGCATCTGACATGCATACAGTTGAAGCAGATACGATGGCAGTGACCGTATAAGAAGACGAGTTCAATAGGCAAATGAAGATACATCGACTCCATCGGAGTGCACACACTATCTCTCTATCCTATCATCTCACATGGATACTATTGAAGCAGACGAGTTCCCAATGCCCATATGAGACGACTCCTAAGCGGGTATAAGGAACACAACTTGGAGAACAAGAAACTTCGACTATGATCACACTGTAACTCTGAAGTCTTGCATCCGACATGCAAACAGTTGATGCAGGAACGATTGCAGTGACCGTATAAAAAGACTTTGGAGAAATTATAACGGGTACAATGGGCGAATGACTATACATCGACCTCATCGTTGTGCACACTATATCTCTCTTTCCCATCATCCCACATGGACACTATTGGAGCAGACAAGTTCGCAATGATGTTACGATCCGAAAGTACCTGCTCTGATCTGAATGGGAAATCTACTAATTTATGCATTTGTATGAGAGAATGGTGCCAGATTCAGATATATCATACAAAGCCCTACGCTCATTTGCATCTTTATTCCAAGTATCACATTATAACAACAGATATAGATGGTAATCCTGCGGTATCTAACAGCTCTGGGATTGGTGCTCTCCTCGTTGCAGCAGGATAGTAACCCCTAAAATCATTCAATGTATTAGGATAATGAGATTACCAGGAGCTTTGTACTTACCCGCTTGTCCCCTATTCCGAGCTTTTGGCCTGTTCCATCCAGGGTAGCCAGTTTCCATCAGCCAATGGTAACCCTGCACCTCAAGAGGTTCATTTCTGAAAATCAGAAATAATTATGAATAACATCCATCAGATTATTTTGTTTTGGGTTGGTTAGGATAGGTTATGAGTATGGATTTACCTCTTGCCAGTGCAGAACATCTTCTGTGACTGAACCACAGCCAGTTCTTCTTTCTTTATATTCTGCTCACTGGTTCTGCTCCCTCCTTCTTCTTTTGGTCTTAATATGAAGACACAACCATCATCAAGACATTGTCAACAAGAGGAACAGGTTGACAAGCAGTTGTGAGAGAGAAAGGTTAGGATTGGATTTTGCCTCCAAAAATTGTAGGTGTCACCTGGATTCCTTTTTTTTTTGGCTTTAACCTCCAGTATAGCATGTGTGCTTAGGAAATTGCAGAATTTGCAGATTTGAAAGCCAAAAAGGAAAACTTGGAAAATATTAGCAGAATCAATCATTAAGTTGATTATTTCACAACACAGTGTGGATTTATAATATTTTCCTCCTGACTCACCAGTTTCTTGTCGAAACCTTCAGATAGGCAACATTTCATCCAAGGTAAGCCTCCCAGGAATCCTCCCTTTTGTCAGTCCGGTTACCAACATAATCAATGATTTTAGGCCTTCTTATTACCCCTTCAGTACCTGTGGAGCTGCTTTGAAAAGACCTGGAGCCTACCCTCAAACCATCCCTGGTTTTGGTGGCCTATCCCCCAAACCCCTACCAATATAAATTGTCCCTATATGTAGAAATCAACAAGGTATAAGCTAACCAATCCTAGCTGCAACGGGGTTGTAGTGACATTGGCATATCATCTCTGGATGCTTGATCACAAGTAAGATCTTTCTTATTTATCAGCTTTGGCTGCCTTACCTGGTGAAGGTTGCAGACTGGCTTATTGGCCTGTGTAACACTGCATCCTTGCTTTGCATGCATGACTCTTGTGCTCACTTAGTATTGAGGATATATTGTGCTCACTCAGTATTAAGTCTATCTTGTGCTCACTTAGGATTGAGTATCTCTTGTGCTCACTTAGGAATAAGTACATCTTGTGCTCACATAGAATTAAGTATAGATGGTGCTCACTCCAAATTGAGCAAAGGTATTTATAAGTGTGAAACAAAAACAGCTGGGACTTCCTATCCATGTTCATATCAATGTAGGAGAATAAAAGTGAATCCTGTATATATCTGTAGGGCGGTCATAGGATTCATTGATGCTCAGCTATAGGCCTGATTACTGAGTGCTGGAGAATCAGCACAGGAGTTATGTCATGAAATTCATATAGAGTGCCATCATTATCTTGGATCCTTGAGCTGGATTATTAATTGAATAGGACCATAAGAATAGTTCATCCAAATCATTTGTCTCACGTAATTATTATTTTGTTCTTGCATGTTTATCAAGTTTAATTATTGTTGTTTACAAGAATATGGTTACGGTTGCGATTTGACATATGAATTGATACGTGAACGTGACAGTCAGTTGAAGTTGAAGGATCGCAATCGTCATTTGTCAGCGTGTGTACGAGCAGTAATGCCGGATGACCACTCGTGGTTCTGTCACAGATCAACAGACCTTTTTATTTTGTGGTTCCGTGCTAGATCCTCAGATCATTAATAAATCAAACTAAATAAACGTCACTTGAGTGTTGCCATTCACGAAATTTAGTGTTCAACTTATTTTACCCACCCCTCTCCCTGAGCTGTATTCTAAATAACTATTTTCCAATCGAGGAAAATACGGAAACTCAACAAAAGGGATTCCCCGAGCAAGAATCCATGATTTTGTTGCCTCTCGAGTACCGGGGGGTAACAAAATTGGCGCCCAACGTGTTCGGATCTGTTTATACAGGGTGATCAGTAAGCAACTCTCAACTGAGGTTTATCTTAGCCATTATCTTACTATTTTTGTCTCTCGTTTCGGTTAGTAATTTGGATTTTCTTGAGCTTGAGTGGACAGGTATGGTATGATTTCGCCGATGGTTTTGCCACGATTCCAGAGTTGTTGGTGCAGATGAGCATTGCGTGCTTTAGATTCATAATTTTAGAGCATTGAGGTCATACCTACACAAGGTGTTGTGGTCAATAGGTGACAGAGGTATTCGAGGTCTGGTATACGAGGGGTATATAAGAGATCGCAATATCCGAATTTTGGAAAAAGTATATAGATATACAGGGTGTACATAAATTGTAACTTTTCTTTTCTCAGATATTTAGGGTATAATTTTTCGTATGTTCGATCTCATTGATCCGACAGATGGAGAAGGTGGCATCAAGTCAGGGGATGTGGTTGACAGATTTCCATCCAGAGGAGGAGCACCTTTGTTCACGTCTTCCTCAGGCCCTCGGACAGGCCCTCATCCTTCTCCCCAGCAACAAGCTTCACGGGGAGCTGATTCCCTCAATCCTCCGGATCCGTCTAGCCAGAGTCAGGCTCACCTTAGAGAATCGGTACTGCCTGAGAGTCAGAACCCGATGTTCGTTAGGTTTGCGGAGGAGGACCAGTTCCTGGCCAACTCGACATGGTCAACCCGGTTTGCCACAAGAAACCAGTTATCACAACTCGATGACTTGACTGATGATTATTCCCCAACACTGGCCGATAAATTTTATAATCTTCGATTGCAGCCCCCCCAAAGCGGCAACAACGTACGGCAACGTGCCAAGGAGCAGTGGAGTCAAGTAGATCGCTGGGGAGTACGGTTCAATGAAAGGACTAGTGTCAACGATTTCCTTGAGCGGATAGAGAGGCTTCGGTTGTCCAGCGGGGTTTCAAAAGATCGACTTCTCCGGTCCGCTCCGGAGTTGTTAACACACGAGGCCCTCCTTTGGTACCGCACTGGACGGTTAAATTCCTGAGATGAACTGGCCGATCGATTTAGGGAGGCATTTCAACCGTTTGACTATGAATATGGGTTGTGGGATGAACTGAGAAGAAGAACTCAGGGTGCTCAGGAGAAGATTATGAACTATGTGTCCATTATGGAAAACATGTTCAGGAAAATGCCCAGGTTGCCCTCAGAACCTACCCGAGTTAACCTAATAAGGAGGAATCTGTTGCCCCATATTCAGGAACAGCTTTCTTTGTGTGGAATTACCACAATTGCGGAACTGATTCGACTCAGTCGAGCAATTGAAGAGACGGAGTGGAGAGTGGACAAATTCACTCCACCCCCTTTGAATGTGCGTAACCTTCTCGAACCTGAGTTGGCTTACCTGCGTACAACCCCAAACCAACTTTCTTCGGTGCGAAGTGAGGGTGCGGCTACGGCCTCAGCAACTACCTCCCGCCACCCGATGCCTGGTTCGAACCCCTCAAGTGATCTGAACGTCGACGCGATGACGAATCAGCCTGCGAAGTGTTGGAACTGCCAGAGTTCTGAACATAAATTTCGTCAATGCTCTCAGCCCCGTCGGAAATTTTGCTTCAAGTGCGGACGATTGGACACAGTCTCATACTCATGTCCCAACTGCGCAAAAAACTCGAGAAGAGGTCCCCAGTAGGCCGGTGGGTAGACCTCTCCACTACTATCCTCCCGGTCGATCGAAGAACTTCCGTAATCATCGATTACGTGCTCGCTCACGCAAAGGGTGACACGAGGTCATATCTGACGGTGGATATTTTGGGCCAAAAGTTCCTATCCCTATTGGACTCGGGCTGTACTCGCACTGTTTTGGGAGAGAGAGGTTGGAAAATTCTTGAACCGTTCTGTCGACTACAAGAGGTTTCCGAGCAGCAATGCACGGTTGCTAATGGACACAGCTGTCCCGTAGTGAGGATGATTGCTGTTCCAGTGAACTTATGTGGTAAGGTGAAAATTTTCGAGATATTGGTAGTTTCCTCTCTTCCACATACTCTTATACTTGGTATGGACTTCTGGTCAAGGATGCGAATCATTCCGGACATGTTCTCGGGGGAATGGAGTTTCCGGAACTCGGAGGAGGAGGAGTCGGCCCCACAGTATCTGAATTCTATCAGTACCCTATCGGACGATCAACGCCGACAGCTAGATGCCTTGATTGAGGCAACTTTTCATTCTATGGGGACCAAACTAGGATGTACCAACTTAGTTTCTCATGTCATCCAGACTACATCTCCCCCTCTTCGTCAGCGATATAACCCGGTATCTCCAGCACTACTGAAGCAGGTGCATCTTGAGTTGGATCAAATGCTCTCTGACGGAGTAGTAGAGCCCTCGTCCTCCCCTTGGGCCTCGCCTATTCTGTTGCTGCGAGAAGATGACGGTCGTTACAGATTTGTGGTAGATTTCCGGCAGCTCAACAAGGTCACGGAACGGGACGCCTACCCTCTGCCTTTAGTAAGTGCTACCCTGGATAAGCTACGGGATGCGCACTATTTGACCACTTTGGACATCAAATCTGCTTACTGGCAGATTCCCTTATCGGCCGAGTCAAAACCACTGACCACATTCATTGTACCCAATCGGGGGCTCTTCCAGTTTACCCGGATGCCTATGGGCCTTCACAATGCTCCTGCAACATGGCAAAGGTTCATCGATCGGGTTATCGGGGTAGATTTAGAACAATACGTCTTCGTCTACCTCGATGACGTCATCATATACACAGACACCTTCGATAAACATCTTCATATTCTGACAGAGGTTTTGGCGCGACTTGCGGGCGCAAGCCTGACGCTGAATAAGAATAAATGTCACTTTTGCAAGGCGGAACTCAAATACCTGGGCTATGTCGTAGGCTCATCAGGGTTGATGGTGGATCCAGAGAAGGTAGAGGCAATCGTTAAGATTCCTCCACCACGTACTGTTACCGAGGTGAGGAGACTTATCGGGCTGGCCTCCTGGTACAGGCGCTTTGTGCCAAATTTTGCCTCCCTTACTTCGCCCCTCTGTGCGCTGCTGAAAAAGAATTCGAAGTTCGTCTTGTGAGTCTTGTGATCAGGCCTTCCGCACTCTCAAGGACCATTTGATCACCGCGCCCGTCCTTTCATGTCCAAACTTCGAGCTGCCCTTCGTGATACAAACCGACGCATCGGACTACGGTATTGGGGCTGTGCTCTCGCAGGCTTCCGAGGAAGGGGAGAAGGTGATCTGTTACTTGAGTAGATCGTTAACGGCCACGGAAAGAAAGTTCAGCACCACCGAGAAGGAATGCCTGGCGGTGCTGTTCGCTATTGAGAAGCTAACACCTTTTGTAGAAGGAACGAGGTTCAGCGTAATCACCGACCACCACAGTCTCAAGTGGCTTAATAACATCAAGGACCCGGTTGGCAGGATCGCCAGATGGGCGGTGCGGTTCCAACAATATGATTTCGATATAGTCCATAGGCCCGGTCGCGAACATTGCGTTCCAGATGCCCTATCGCGAGCCGTTCCGGTTGTGGACTCAGTCGATGGTCCAGCTGATGAAGCCCCACCAACCACGAAGGACCCATGGTATCGGCGTATGATCGCCCTAGTGAAGGCCCGACCTGATCGCTATCCCCTTTGGCAAATAGAGGGGGAGCGTATTTTCAAAAAGACCAAGGTCCCTTATATCCAGGTCTCTCGGAAGAATCCGATGGATGGCTGTTGGTGGTCCCGAAAGAAAATCGCTTGGAGATCATCCAGAGAAAGCATGACCCTCCCACGTCAGGGCACTCGAGAATCTTCAAAACATGTTCCCGGATAGCCACAAAGTTCTACTGGCCCAAACTTTGTCAGGATGTCGCGCGGTACATAAATAGATGCCAGACGTGTCTGAAGACCAAACCTGAGCAGAAGGCACCGGCGGGACTGATGCTAAGTGCTGGCCCTACGGTATCACGACCATGGGAGATTTTAAGCGTCGACCTAGTAGGTCCGTTACCTCGATCTACCGTGGGCTATACGTATATATTTTCAGTAATGGACATATTCTCTAAATTTATTCTCTTGTTTCCATTACGGGCGGCAACGGCGGCAAAAGTGACCACCTTGTTTAAGGAAAATATAATTCTTCTGTTTGGGGCTCCTCGACGGATCATCATGGACAATGGGGTGCAATTTCGGAGTGGATCGTTCAAGTTGCTACTACAAAGGTATGACATTATTCCAGGCTACATATCAAATTATCAACAGTAATTACACAAGTGGTGGTAATTTTTTGATAATTTTAACTAGATGCACGAATCTTTGTTGCTATAGAAATTTCACGAGTGGACGAAGTCCACGAGTGGGATTTCTCAATAGCAACAAAGACGAGTGCTAAATCTAGTTAAAATTATTTAAAAAAATAACCAACACGAATGTAATTCGGCGTGATTATTTTTTTTACTATTTCGCAAAATGCCCCAGAATATGTTTATTAAACAATTATTTATTGAACAATCATTTATCATACAATTATATATCAAACAATTATATATCAAACAATTATATATCAAACAATTATATATCAAATAATTATATATCAAACAATCAAGAATGTTTACAATTTACGTTTGTAATGGTGCAATTATTGTATGTTATTGTACAATTTCCTTGAGATGAAGAGGTCGAAACAGTGTTTCCTCTCAAGTTGTTTATCATGCTTGCGTGATGCTCTTTGTCAAGTTGAAGATAGGGTTTGATGGAGCTTGCAGATGAATGTCCAGTTATCTTCAACAACTGCTGCTCACTTACTCCACTTTTAGCGAGTTGTGTCACAGCAGAAGAACGATGTGAATGGTTTGTAACCTTGATTTTGCTAGGATCCAAGCCAATCTTTCGGGCCGCTTGTTTTGTCCATTTTGCTATTTCATTTTGTCCTACCGGAAGATTTTTGTACCACCCCTTAGACAAAGGTTGCTGCCAATTTGGATTAGGTGTTAAAAATAAACGATCAATTTGAATATTTGCACTTCTTTTCGACATTAACTTCCGAAAGAGACGTACTGGACATTTTTCAGTCTCATTTTCATTTGGCGTTAAAAATTTGCTATCAGATAACCTGTGCGATCCTCCTTGTGCTGTTTTAGAAATTATTGGATTATATTCTATCCTTCCAGTTTGATTTCCATAATGATCCATTTCTTCTCTAAAATACTGTACTAATGCTTTTGTCGCTTCTCCGCCTCTCCAAGCCAATTCGTAGCTAGCAGTATGATAAAACTTCCTTTGTAAGCCATTTGGAGTATTTTCGTCCCATGCTGCTATCATTTTTTCTATTTCTTCTTTCTTGAGAGCAACAGAAGATGCTTTTCTTTTTTCAGGAATATGTTGAAGTTCTCGACGTTTGCAATTCCGCGCATCTCGCGCGGTCTTAAATTCAATATCAGTGAACGGATCAATGTTTCTATTATACTCCCTGAAATATTTTTCCTGGATAAGTTTTGCGGTGACATTCCACAAAGTTTTGACAACAGATTCTTTGTAGTTTTCTCCATTTTTTTTTCGCATGTTATATGCCCAGTCCTCCATAATTGATGCGATTTGTTTCATCTCGGTTGTTGCAGTCAACTCATAATTACGTTCAAGGCAGAACTCCAAAAACTGTTTCCATATCGTATTCTTGCTTTTTGTGGTGTTGATTGGTGTTGCTTGTTCGACAGCTAAATGTATTGAATCAGCCGAGCTTTGACCAAATCTCGTGCTCATGTCGGTTTCTGTTAATGACTAATAATAATTGTAAAGTTTTTCCGAACCTATACCAACTCGTTTAAACGTTAGAGA